AAGAGGAATGGATGGAAACCTACCCCAAAAGAGTTCAAAGATATCTCCAAGGCCTGTGTAGAACACGGTCATGGAGGTCTTTGGAACATGGAGTACGACGAAGACGAATACGTATCTTTAGACATGAAGCACTGCTATCCTGCCAGCTTCAAAGGCCTGGGGGATTGTAAGGAATATTATGATAGATAAGGGCATCCAGACTCGCAATTCTTTCGTGTGTCCTTAGACGGCAGCTACGACGCGCCAGCAACGAGGTTCGTCAGATTAACGTCTTGGAAGTTGGCTAAGGACTTACATCCCATAATTTACGCTTGGTACGGGAAGCATTTGCAGGAAAAAGAATGGATACCAGTGCCATTGTTAAAGTTCTTAGAAGAGCGTAAACTCCTGAAATACACAGCGCATGAAACCATACTTTGCCATAGCGCCTTTACTAAATGGTTACCAGAACACAATCCAACTGCAAGAATAGTCATAGGAAAGTTCACGCAAGGTGCTAAGGAGGGCGAGAAGCACATGCAAAGACGTCTAATAACGGACGAAGGCGAACTAAGCTTCCTCATAAAACGTGCCCACGATCAAGGAACAATGGTGTCTGTAGAGAAATGGGATTACCTCGTAGATGATGAGCTGCATAAATGGAATGCGCTGTGTTATTACCAGGACCATCGACCGCAGTATTACCATTTGCGTGCCAGCATGTTAGCCTACGCGCACATTAACCTTCTCGCAATGCTCTTGCGGTTTGACAAAGAAGACATTCCACGCGTAGCCACGGATTCCCTATACGTGAAACCGCACGTATTGGAAAAGATGAAGGAATTCTACACTGCCGATGAACTCGCAGAAAGTGGACAATGCGCGTTAAAGATGAGGAGATAAGAGCCTGGAGGGCACGTGTAGAATATCACGGAGAACACACCCGCGGTTCCATTACGCCGACGGAAGAGCCACTGCCCTCGGTTGCGGACCCTATTTCCTACCAACGCTTCTCTTACCTTTACGGTACGGGAGGCAGCGGTAAGACGACGCGTGTGTTAGAACTCTTTCCTAAGATAAAGGTGCTAACGCCAACGCATCGTTTGGAAAGAGAACTCTGCGAAATGGGCCACGACGCACAAACCTACCACAGCTTCTTTCGTTGGAATGGTCAAAAGTGGGTACCGGAAGCTATTCACGACATACCTCCGGTGATACTTTGGGATGAGATTTGCACCGTTCCCTTAGAAATCCTGCAGGAGTTCGTAGAMTTCCTMMGMGGGAAATGTCAAGTAATATTCGCCGGAGATCCGTGCCAGYCACCTCCAATAGCCGGAGAGATGCCCCACGAATGGTTAAAAGGGATGGTAGACCACTCCGAAGAAATTAACACAGATTACCGCAGCAAGGATCAAGTAAGAAACCTGAAAGCGGAATTAAGGGGCCTCAGTGACGCCGAGCAATGCAAGACGCTGCGCAAACGCGTACAAGCGAAGTCCTACGAGGACTTTCTATACGCCTGGCATCCCAAAGATTTGGTGCTGAGCAGCAAGCGCGCAGCACAGTCTCGCATACAAAAAGACTTACTCAAAATACACCAAGAGCGCTTCCCTACGCATCCCGTGCCCGTTTGCTACAAGCCCCACGACACCCGCATGCAGCGCCGCGACGTTTGCGTACCCGATACCGACATCCAACTGCAGAACGCAGTAACGCACGATAAAGCCTGGGTGCCCATAGAAAAGGTGGAAAAAATAATCTCCCATCCAGACTGGCGCTTGGGTTATTGCATGACAGTCCACAGCGCGCAAGGGCTTACCATAAAAGAAACCTTATGGATCATAGACCAGCGGCTGTGTTGGAGCAACCTTATCTACACCGCTGTGAGCCGCGTGGAGTACGCCAAGCAATTAAAAAGAGCCTGGGGCCCACAGCTGCGTTACGATAAGACGCCAGAAGAAGTAGCCAAAGAGAACACTGCTAAGAAACTCCTTCGCTACAAGCGGCACGACGAAGAAAAAAATATGACGTTCGACCTATGCGCGGACGACGTCTATAAGAAAGGGGCAAGGTGTGCCAAGTGTAACATACCGCTA